CACCGTCGCAAGAGGAAGGGCCCACGGGCCCAGCTGTCACCTGGAGTTCATTCTGCGAAACCGCCCAATACAGCACGTGGAATGCGTGGTGCGCAGGGCTTCGGGCGCGCTTCGAGCCGATCGCGGCTTCTATTTCGGCGCGTCAGAAACTGCGTACTTGGCGGCAGCTCGGATCGGTCCAAGACTACACGAGCGGTTTTCTCGCATTAAGCGAGCAAGTCGGCTATATGCACGAAGCGGAGCGGGTGGACCGTTACGTCGGAGGGCTGAAGCCGGACATCTCGCACGAAATCATGCTACGCGGACTCTCGAATTTCAACGAGATTCTCGCGCTCGCCGAGAAAATCAACATTTTACGCCGTCCGAGACCGGGGTCCTACTACGGACATCGCCCTCGGGGACCAATCGAGCACGCCACTGTACACGCTGTTGCGACGAACGCAGCTGCCACGCCGTTTAAGGGGCGCTGCTTCGCTTGCAATAGGCCGGGCCATCGTAAGAGCGAGTGCCCAGAGGAGCTGAGGCGCCGCGGAGCAGAGCAGGGGAGGGAGTTTCTAAGGCAGGGAAACGCTAGCAGTCAGTAGGAATCGGGCCAACTACTGACGAGACTGCCTGCTCGCCCAACCACACCGACCCTCACCGAGTCACAGTACCGATTCACGCTATCGATCGGGCTCGGATGAATAAGGAGGGTACAGCGACGGATTGCCCAGTACTGATTCACGGAAAAATACAGGGAGCAGCAGTGAAGATTTTTATCGACGGAGGTGCAAGTCACAGCTTAGTTAATACCGCGACCGCACGAAAACTACAACTGACACTGAGTCGGTGTTTACCGGAGATAGACGCACGCTTAGTTGACGGCACACCACTGGCCATACGGGAAAAAGTGGAGAGAGTAAAGGTCCGCTGCGGGGGGAACTTCGGTTTTACACAGGAAATGCTCGCGACGACACTGGATGGGCACGACATTTTACTGGGACGTGATTGGTTGCGACGGTATAACCCGCGAATTGACTGGACGACGGGTAGCTGCACTGTGCGAAGTAGCGGTAACTGGGTGTCGCTACCACGCTGGCAGTCGCCCGAGTCTTCAACGGTCCACGTCAACGCCATCACGATGAAACGGGCTGTCGCCGCTGGAGCTGACGTGTACGCAGTGGATATAGCATTGATAGGAGAAGCAGAGCAGCCGAGTGATTTTCAGAAACTGCTGACAGCGGTACCGCCCGAACTGCAGGAGCTATTGAAACGGTACCCGGGGATTTTTCCCGACGACTTACCGGAGGGACTGCCACCTCAGCGAGCACACGACCACCGCATAGAGTTAGAACCCGGGGCACAGCCAATCGTACAGCGACATTTCAGACTGACACAGCCCGAGCTCGATGAGCTGAGGAAGCAGTTAGACTACCTGTTAGAGAAAAAATTCATCCGACCGAGCTCGTCACCGTTTGCTGCACGATACTGTTCACACTGAAAAAAGACGAAGGGTTTCGCATGTGCATCGATTACAGAGCACTGAACCGGGTAACAGTCAAGTCGCGATACCCCATTCCCCGCGCTGACGAACTGATCGACCAGCTGCGAACAGCACGGGTTTTTTCGAAAATAGATTTACGGGGAGGTTACCATCAGATTCGGGTCGAACGATCAGACTGCGCCAAGACAGCATTTAGGACTAGGTACGGGTCATTCGAGTACACCGTGATGCCATTCGGGTTGACCAACGCACCGGCAACATTTATGATGACCATGAACGAGGCGTTTAGGCCACTTTTAGATAAATGCGTGATAGTTTACCTCGACGACATCCTAGTCTACAGTCGTGATAAGCAGCAGCATTTAGCAGATCTGGAAGCAGTGTTTAAAGTTTTAGACGAGCACAGACTACTGACCAAGGGTTCCAAGTGCGAGTTTTTTCAGGACAGGTTAGAATTTTTAGGACACGTTATTTTGGAGGCTGGGGTTGAAATCGACCCAAAGAAACTGGACACGGTCCAAGCGTGGCACCCCCCGACAAATATCACGGAGCTGCAGAGTTTTTTAGGGTTCGTTAATTACGTGCGTCGGTTCGTCCCCGACATGGCGAAATTGACAGCCCCACTGACGGATCTGCTGCGGAAGGGGGTCGCTTTTACGTGGGGGGAGAAAGAGCATGCTGCCTTCTCTGCCCTGAAAACTGTTCTCTGTTCACCGCCCGTACTGCGCATCGCTGACCCACACCGCCCTTTCGAAGTAGTAACCGACGCAAGCGACATCGCCATTGGAGCCGTACTGTTACAGGATTTCGGCAACGGCCTACAGCCCATCGCCTACGAGTCACGAAAGCTGCATCCGCCCGAGAAAAATTACCCGATACACGACCGCGAAATGCTCGCGATCGTGCATGCGTTCAAGGTCTGGCGCTGTTACTTGACTGGCGCAGACGTGACAGTACGGACAGACCACCGATCCCTACAGTACCTCCGTGCACAGCCCCACCTCAACCCACGACAAATCCGCTGGCTCGATTTCCTCGAGTCAAACTTCCACTACACGGTCACCTACAAAAAGGGAGCATCCAACATCGCTGACGCACTGACCCGCCCCACTGCCCAAATCCACGCAATACTACTCGCCCAGACCAGCCCGCTACTGACAGGACTATTTACCCACGGGTACCAAACGGACCCATTCTTCACAGGAGGAAATTCGCAGCAGTTCGCAGCAGCCAAGGGAGTCTATTACGTAAAAGCCGGGACCGACCGCATCTGGGTACCAGGGTACACACTGCTACGGGAATTACTGTTACAGGAGGCACACGACGGAATTACCTCGGGACATTTCGGGGTAGAGAAAACACGGCAGCAGCTGCAGCGGTATTACTATTGGCCCGAGATGCTGACCGACGTGCAACGACACGTGGCATCGTGTCCCACCTGCCAACTCATGAAGTCGTCACGACAACGACCGGCAGGACAGTTGCAGCCGATACCACCCCCAGAGCGTGCTTGGCAGCAGGTGACGATGGACTTCGTCACGGGGTTACCGGCTGGAGCAAGTGGGAACGACGCGATCTTGGTCGTCGTCGATCGGCTGACGAAAATGGCACATTTCGCAGCATGCAAGAAGTCAATCACAGCCGAAGAAACAGCTCGCCTCTTCATCGCCACCATCGTTCGATTACACGGGATACCAGCAGCGATCATCAGCGACCGCGACACGAAATTCACCAGCAACTTCTGGCGGAACCTGTGGCAGCAGTTCGGCACGCGACTGCAGTTCAGTTCATCATACCACCCCGAAACCGACGGACAGACAGAACGGACAAATCAGACCATGGAACAGCTCATCCGGGCCACGTGCGACGACCCGACCACGTGGGAACAGCAACTGCCACTCATCGAATTCGCGTACAACAACTCGCCATCCGCCACGACCCAACAGTCACCGTTCTACCTGAACTACGGACAAGACCCCACAGTACCCATGACCCCGAATCCCGACAACCCAGTCCCACGCGCGCAACAGTTCGCAGAAATACTGCAAGCAGCACGGACCCGAGCAGCAGAAGCAATAAAAAAATCAAACATCATCGCTAAACGCAACGCTGACCGCCACCGCCGACCTGTCACTTACCAGCCAGACGACCTAGTTTTACTCGACACTCAAAACCTCCGCCTGCCCATCACCCCAAAACTCCGCCCCCGATATTGCGGGCCATTTCGCATCAGCCACACGATCACACCCGTCACCGCCCATCTCCTCCTCCCTGCTGACTGGTACGTCAGACCGTCATTCCACGTCAGCCTGCTTCGCCCATACGTGCCATCCACCAGCCAATTGCCTCGCAACCGCCCCGCCAGCATGACACGACCGCCGACTGAGCCAATCATCACGCCTGAGAAAATACTGAGCCATCGAGTACGTGACCCACGGGGAGCCCGCAGAATCGAATTCCTGATCCGCTGGAAAGACCGCACGCCCACCGAAGACAACTGGGTCCCTCTGGATAGAATTGAGAATCTCCCTGTCCTCACTGAGTATCTGCGCAGCCGAAACTTCCGAGATGTACACGCGCTCTCGTAAGAGGGGCCTCCTTGGGGAGGGGGGTAGTGTAAGGAAAATTCATTTTCCTTACGTCGCGTCCCTGCTTACCGCGTACATAACCGTTCCCGCCATCAGCACCCATCCATGAACGTTACCCGTTCACGACACTCGCTTCGACACCATTCCCGCCACTGTTCACGACGCGACCCAACCTCACGGCTCGGTTGGTAACCCGCGCTCCGGACCTCCGCCTCGGCATTCCCAACCTCGACGCTAGGCCCGTCGCGCACCCCATTTTCACACATTACCGTTACCACTGTAGTTTCGCTATATATTCTTCGCTCATGCCTTCGCTCATTGTACTCTTGCTTCGATAGTGCAATTCTCGCTCGTTCACTCAATTGCACTCATAACATGACCTGTAGATAGGATTTTCAAAACACCCATTTATGTCTCAGGGATGGCTCATGTCAGGGAGATTGTTTGTTAGGGCGTGTAACCGTTCCTCTTTTTGACCGTCCGGACGGCTCATCCTCTGGACTTTTGTGTGGTTACCTTTCTTGGAGTACCTCGTTTACGAATCAGAGGCATAGCGACAGATGGCCAACACAGTTACCTTACAGAAGTTCAGATAGACGTCCGGACGGTCAGAAACGAAAAATGTTACACGCCCTTATGCTGTTGGCCAGTTGCAGCAAGCGAAAGCCCCCCCACCAAGGGACTTCATTAGCGGCCGCGCGCTGCAGAGGGTCCCGTGCGTCAACTCATCTGCCCGCTGCACGTTTCCCCGCCACCCTCAACATGTTCGCGCCGCAGAGGGTGCTGCTGCTTGGCGGGATGGGGGGGCTGGGTAGCGTTGCGGGGACTTCACCACCGCGAATGACCTAGCTTGGGGGGCTCCTCGGGCATCACCTTCAGAGGAGCGTACGTGTAGTCGACACAACTTGGCTGTGTCACGGGGAGCCCCCATGACCCGCGAGCACATGCGGGGTGGGGGGGAAAGTCTGAAGGCAATCCCCCGAAGTGTATGTGCGCTGTTCTGTGTGCCTTTTCCCGTTGGAGCTGCCTCCACCTACATGCCGCCTCCTCACCCACCTGCCTTATCAGACAACCGCCCCGTTACCTCTATTTCTAGATGCAAATGGTTCCTTGGTTACCTCTTCTGCTGCCGGAGAAGGGGCAGTAAGGCGAGCGTGTATGTCGTGGTGGTATCCGCGCGGTGGTAGCAGCGCCGTAGCGTTGTTCTGACCCCTCAGATGTTCCGACCACCGTATTGTTAACCTATCTCTAAACTAGCATCCAGACTCGGCCTTCGGCAGTGCTTGTCAGACTTTCGCCGTCATGGCACTTAATTAATATATATTAAAAGCCTTTTTTTTAGAAAATAGGCGTCTATTGGATTTTCTGTGTATTCTTATCCTCGTGCCCGCTGTCTCTCCTCCGCGCCATCGAGTCACAGGCCCGTTAGGGCGAGCCGTGGGCATGTCAGAGTGGTCGCCGCTGCTCAACGGTCCCCCGGGGACCACGTCCTTCTGCGTCACTTTGGAGGACGCGTCGGGTCGCGAGGTCTCGCCATGGCACGACGTGCCGTTGCATTCCACGTCGGGCGGCTTCCACCTCGTTTGCACCACGCCCAAGGGGACTCAAGTAGACTGCCACGTCGCTGTTCAGGAGAGACTCGCGCCGCTGCGCCATCGCGTGCGAGCAGCCACTGCAGCGGCGGGCGGCGGGTGGCAGCTGGTGCAATTCAACGAGCCAGTCCCCTGGAATTGCGGCGTGCTGCCGCAGACGTGGTCGGACGGCGCGCAGCGGTGCGCGGAGTTTGGAAACCTGCCGTTCGACGACAGCCCCATAGAAATGGTGGAGATCGGGCGGCGCGTGCGCTCGGTGGGCGAGGTGTACTCGGTGGGGGCGCTTGCGGTGTTCGCGCTGGTGGACCCGCGCGGGCTGCGGCTGTCGTGGAAGGTGGTGGGCATAGCGCTGGACGACGATAGCGGCGTGGTGGACTCGCAGAACGGCTCCGTGCACATCCTGCTCGACTCCATCCAGGAGTGGCTGCACTCCTGCCGCGCCATCCGAGGTACGCCTCTGCCACTCGCGCCACCCGCGCTACGCCCTCCCAGTGAGCAACCAGGGCGCATCGCGCGTTGCCACCTGCCCCTTGTGTTGTTCGTCTCTTTTGGTCTCTTGTATCATTCTCCCCTCCCCGCCCCCCTTTTTTACCCCCAATCCGCCCTCTCCCTCACGTCTCCTTTCCGTCCCCTCCGCCGCCTTCGCTCGCCTTCTCACATCCCTATCGCAACCGTCACAACGGCTGCCGCTCCTCCGCGCCACCGCCGTCGTGTGTGGGCAGGCGAGCGCGGGCGCGTGTTGCGGCTGAAGGAGGGCGTGGCGGACAAGGACAAGGTGCTCGAGATCGTCGCGCACGCGCACGCCGCGTGGCAGCTGCTGCGCGCGGAGCGGCAGGCGGCGCTGAACCCGCGCATGTCGATGCTGGGGCTGGACGACGGCGACCTCAGCGAGGAGGAGGAGCTTGCGCGCGCCACCACGGGCGGGGGCATGCTGGCGGGCAAGGTGGGGCTGGGGCCCCCCGTGCGCATCTTCGGCGAGTCGTACGCGTCCGACATCGGCGGCCGGCGCACGAGCCGCTCGTCCGAGCGCGGTGGTGTGCGCACGCTGGGCGCGCCGGTGTTTGGCAGCAGCTTGCTGACGGAGTCGTGGGACAGCGAGGAGGAGAAGAGCCACTCGCGCCAGCAGTCGCTCGAGGACGACTGGGACGCGCCCGCCAATTCCACGAAACCCGCCGCGGACGGCAACTTCGGTGGGGGTGGAGGGGGGATTTGGGGCGGGGGTGGTGGCGCCCGGGGCGGCGGCGGGATTTGGGGTGGTGCGGCGTCGACGGGGGGTCGAGGAGCTGGGGGGATGTGGGGAGGGGGGTCGTGGCAGGAGCGGGAGAAGGTAAGTGCGCCGGGGTTCAGCGAGGGCGCGGATCGCGCGCTTGTGCGCGCCAGCTCGTCGGCGGAAACGTCGCGCAGCCCGTGGAGGGTGGACGAAGGGGGCGGGGGCTACCTGGACGACGACGACGGCGGGCCGGGCGGAGGGAGAGTCGGCGGAGGAGCGGCCGTGGCTGCGGCCGGGGCAGGGGGAGTGAGCTCCCCGTCGGGCCCGCGGAGTGGGGAGGATTGGGGCGAGGAAGATAGGATGGGGGACGGCGGGAAGAAGGGGTTGCGGCAGAAGATCATGGGGAAGCTGAAGCGCACGGCGCACAGCTGGAAGGAGGGCCTCACCAGCGGCGCCGACGAGCGCGACGGCCTGCGGGGGCGCGCGGGGTCGGGCGAGCTGAGCATGTCGCCGCGGGCGCAGGCTGCGCACGACGCGTACGTGCAGCAGCACGCGGAGGGCGACGACGAGCAGCCGCCCCTGCAGCAGGCGCAGGGCGGCGCGTACGGCCATGGGCAGCAGCAGCAGGGGGGCGGCAGAGCCAAGGGCGGATGGCGTCCCTTCGCCGGGGGAGGGCCGCAGGCGGATGATCTCTCCGCCTCGCAGCGCCATGGGCGGTCCAAGTCGTTCATTACAGGGGTGCCTGGGGGGGGGCAGGGGGGACCTCGCGGAAGCGGAGTCGACAGCGCAGGGGCAGGGGCAGGGGCGGGGGCGGGGAGTGGGGCTGGCAGTGCGCAAGGGTCGTTAGAAGCGGGGTCAGGGGGGCGCGGGACTGGCGAGGGTAACGCGGGCACGCCTGGTGCGGGGCAGAGTGGCCCCCGTAACCGACCCATGTGGTTGCCAGGCGGCTCCAAGCTGCCTCTATTGAATCGCCCAGTGTCGTCGTCGGGTCGCCTGGGTCGCAGCCCGTCCGTGGGCTTCCCTTCCTCGGGCACCCCCAAGGCAGGCGACACAGCGGGCGCGGGCGCGGAGCTGGATGCCTTTGACGCGCACTGCCGCGCCAAGCCCGCGCCCTTCTCCCCCCTCACCCCCTCCGCTTCCCTTTCGCCCCTCGCCAATGGCATTTCCGCGTCCAGCCTTCCGCCCCTGAGCCCCGCCCTTGGCTCCTCTCCCTCCACGTCCCTGGGTGCGCGGGAGCTCTCCCGCACGCCCTCCGCGGACAGCCGCCACCTGCACACCACCGCGCTCAGCCCGCTCGGCAGCCCCACCGCCATGGGCGCAGGCCTGGGCTCCCGCGGGCGGGGCGCGCTGGCCGGCGCTGGGCGGGGCTCCGCGTTTCCGTCGCTCGTCGACAGCCCCTCCGCCATCAACGGTAGTCCCCTCGGGTCCCCGCGCGCGCCCACGCTCTCGGGCCCTCCCCCCCTCCACCGCGATCTCTCCGCCCCATCCGACCTGCTCTCCAGCCCCAGTGGCGCGCAGGGCGGCAGCTGGCCGCCCCCTGTTCCGCGCGCAGATAAGAGCGGCGGCTCAGCGCAGCCTGAGCGGGATGTCTCCGCGGGGAACAAAGCATCTCCCCAGGTGCGCGCGCTCTCCCCGCTGAAGGACCACGGGGCCCTGGCTCCGGGGGTTGCAGCTGTCAGTGGCGGCGGCGGAGCGGGGCCAACACCTCCGCGAACAGGCGGAACAATGCGCGGAAAGAGCTCCCTGCGCTGGCGGCGGCCGGGCACTGCGCCCTCTGGGGCCGAGAAGGAGGCGCAGCTGCAAGCAGAGGGGGGGAGGGCAGGGGGAGCACGGCTGCGAAGCGGGGAGATGGAGGGCAGCGGGGAAAGGGGGGGGCGTGGCAGCAATGACGAGGATGGGGCGCGGGCAGGCGCGGAGGAGTGGGAGGGTGACGAAGGTGAGGGCGGGGGGAGAAGGGCGGGCAATGGTGGCAGGATGAGTGGAGAGGGAGTGGGGTCGGGCTGGGCAGGGGCAGCAGGGGGGGAAGCGGGCGTAGGAACGGGGGAAGGGAGGGAGGGCGCGTTGGTCGAGCAGGAGAGGGTGGATCGGCTGCTGATCCCGCAGAATGGCGCGGGGCCCGCGTCGGAGCCGCCCTCGCCCTCCGCTGCCTCGCCCACACCTACCGCCGCGCATGCCGCTGCCGCCTCTCCTGCTGCCGTGGCCGACGCTGCTGACGGCGCAGCAGCAGGGGGGGGATGGGGTGGGGAGGGCAATGACGATGCAGGGGGGAGCGCAGCAGGTGGCGCGGGAGGTGGCGGTGCAAGGCGCACCAGATGGCGCAAGATCGAAGTGGCGCGCCGACCGCCCATCCCTATGCGGGGTGGTCCAGAGCAGGGGCAGGGGCAAGGACAGGGGCAGTCAGCAACGCAAGCAGCACAGACGGTAGAGCTCGGCCAGGGAGAGGGGCAAGGGCAGGAGCACGGGCCACCGCAAGAGCACGCGCCGTGGCAGGGGCAGGAGCAGGAGCAGGGGCAGGGGCAGGAGCAGGGGCAGGGGCAGGGGCAGGGGCAGGGGCAGGGGCAGGGGCAGAGGCAGGGGCAGGGCCAGGGCCAGGGCCAGGGCCAGGGGCAGGGGCAGGGGCAGGGGCAGGGGCAGGGGCAGGGGCAGGGGCAGGGGCAGGGGCAGGGGCAGGGGCAGGGGCAGGGGCAGGGGCAGGGGCAGGGGCAGGGGCAGGGGCAGGGGCAGGGGCAGGGGCAGGGGCAGGGGCAGGGGCAAACGAGGGCTTTGTCACCTTTGCGTATTGCGGAGTGTGTGGGGCGGGAGGAGAGCGAGCGGAGGGTGAGGGATGCGGAGAGCCTTGTTGCGCGGGTGAGTGAGAGGCGGCGCGGGGAAGACGGCGCTGCGATTCCGCGCACTGTGTCCTCGAGCCCGCGAGGCGTGCACGCCAGTGCAGGGGGGAGGCACGGGGGGAAATGGAAGGATGGGGGAGCAGATGGGAGAGGAGACGTGGGGGCGCGGGCGGAAGCAGGGGGCGGGCGCGCAGTGTACACGGGCAGTCTGCGCACGCGGTCGGACATGACGGGCGTGATGGCGTCGTTCGACCCGGTGGACGCGGAGCACAGCCGCGCAGGCAAGCAGCAGCCCGCACAGCAGGGGGGCGCGCATGGCGGGGGCAGGGCGCAGGTGGCAGGGGAGCGAGGGAGGGGGGAGACGACGGGGTGGGAGGGAGGGGCGCAGAGAAGCAGTGAGGCGGAGAGGGGAAGGGCGGAGAGGAGCAGGGCGGAGGGGCGATGGCGGCACATGTCATGGCAGGCCGAACCTGGTGGAAGAGACGAGTGGAGTGGCGAGGGCGGTGAGCGGGGCAGGGGGGAGGAGAAGGTCGCACGGAGGGAGTGGGAAGAGGATGACGAGGAGGCAGGGCACGAGGAGGTGGAGCAGGTAGACGAAGTGGGGGAGGAGGAAGAGGAGGAGGAGGATGATGAGGAGTACTTGGCAAGTCGAGCTCAATATCTGTACCGCTTGCAGCCACAGAAGCAGCAACAGCTGCCGTTGCCGCAGCCGCAACAGCCACGGCAACAGCAGCAGCAGCGTGAAGAGATGAGCGGCAAGGGCATGTGGGATGGCAGGCTTGAGGGTCAATTGCGACAAGGGGCGGAGAGGAGGGCGGGGCAGCAGGGGCTGGGTGTGAGGGGGCCTGGCATAGGCGGTGCGGAGCGGCGAGAGGCGCCGTGGGATGCACGCGGGCAGCAGACGTATGATGGCTGGCGCGCACGACAGGAGGAGCAATACGCGGAGGACGACGAGGATGATGAGGAGGAGCAAGCGGAGGAAGGGGAAGAGGTGGAGGACGAGGAGGGGGAGGAGGAAGATGAGGAGGAGGAAGAAGATGATGAGGAGGAGAAGGGATATGAGGAGAAAGGGCGGGCGGGAGCCGTTGAAGAGGAGCAGGGCGGGCGACCTGGGTGGACGCATGGGGGTGGCGGAGGTGGTGGGCGGGAGCGGCGCGGCAGCACACAGGGGTCAAGGGGGGAGGGCGAGTGGTGCGACGGGAGAGAAAGGCAGAGGGAGGAGGGCGGGTATGGCAGGGGGGCGAGTAGCTCAGGGCGTGTGGGGAACAGCGTTGGGGGAGCGGCGTGGGGGGGACACAGTGTGCCGGATACCCGGGGAGGGCGCAGCAGCAGCAGCAGCGACGGGCACAGGAGGGGTGGGAGGCGAGAAGGGGTGGTTTCAAGCGAGGAGGAGTATAGCAGTGGGGAAGGGGGGGCGGGTGCGAGGGTGTGGCAGCAGCAGCAGCAGTGGCAAGTGCGTGAGGATGTGAGAGGGGGGGTGGAGGGGCGAGCAGGGGTGAGCCCTGCAAGGCCGCCGCGCAGTGGCACGTGGGACGATGGCGACTTTGAGCGCGCAGGGCGCTTCCCCAAGGCCTTGTCGTACGACTCCCCGGGGAGAGGCACGCCGGGCGACGTGCACGCGGGGCGCGGTGGCAAGGGAGGCCAGGAGCAGAGGGATGTGCGCAGGGAGGCGGTTGACAGGAGGGGCGGCAGTGGCGGCAGTGGCAATGGCAGGGCGGATGTGAGTCGCGGGGACAGCAGCGGGCGAGGGGACGGGCGGGCGAGGCGGGGCGATGGGCGTGGGGGTGGCAGTGGTGGTGATGGGCGGGGCAGTGGTGGGGAGAGTAAGGGCGCACTTGTAGACGGCAGGGGGGGAGTGAGGGCTGGGGGGAGTGCGGGGCAGAGGGGGCATGCGGGGAGTGGGGGTGGGGCAAGGCACAGCGAGGATGGGCGAGCAGCGGCGCGTATGGTGATGCCTCGCAGCGCCACTGTGGCTGCCGTGGTCTCCACTGCCGCCACTGCCGGGGGGGGCGGGGGAGCAGCAGCGCGTGCCAGTGCGGGCGGGGGTGGCAGGGGGTACGGCGGGTCAAGTGGTGGCAGGGCGGCAGTAGGGCAGGTGGAGCGCAGCAGCAGGCAGGGCGAGGAGAGGGCGCAGGGGTATGCAGGGGTGCAGGCGCGGGGAGGGACGCAGGTGAAAGGGGGGGGAAGAGGGGCTGGGGCAGCGGAGGGTGTGAGGCATGGGAGCTACGGGCCCAGGCAGAGGCCCGCACCGACCAGGGAGGGCGCTGCTGCTGGCCGCGTGTGACTCAGGCGGGTGAGTGTGTGCACATGGAATGAAGTGGCACCGCCACCACCACACTGCCCCACGTGCTGCCCTCTTGTGCCCCACCATGTTTGAGTCGTGCGCTCGCTCCCCCTCCTCCTTGTGCACACCGGCCCCAAGCTTTCGTGGCATGGGTGGTGCATGCGTGGCATGGTGAGCCAGGCAGAGCTGCTCCCTGCAGCCTCGCAGCACTGCATGGTGGGCAGCAGGGCGGGCCCCTCGTGTGCACGCATGTCTTGCATAGCACGCAGCAGTGCCGTGCACACGTCTAACCGCTGCCCACCGTGTGTGCACTTGCTTCCTCCCACCGTCTCATCCCTCGCAGCCCAACCTCTGTGGCCCTCCTGCTCCTTGCGCACATGCCCCGCCACATCCAAACTTGCAGGCTGTGCCCACGTGCCTTGTTACCAGCCGTGGATGCTTCTTGTGTGAGGCAGTCAACCGCTCTACCTACGGCATTTCACCGTCTTGCTCACGTACAACCCCTTTGGCTGTCACCTTGTTGAATGGGAACAGGCCTCAATGCATACGCTAATGTTGCGCACTCACACTAGGTTAATTGCAGCTCCTGTAGGGTCAGTGTGGGCTTTGTTGGTGTATCAAGAGCGCACCTGTCTGATTCTCTGTAGGATGCAGTCACTCAACTTGAAAGTTGAGCCAAATGTTGCCATGTGAGGAGGAGCCTTTCGCAGGCTTGCACTGGTACGGTACTACTGTGTCCACTCTCCAGGCCTTCATAACAGCCATCCTGGTTCCGCCAGTACTACCTGGATATGGAGCGCCTCAAAACAATGCACCCATGGAAGCAGGCTCGGAGTTTGCTTGGCGGCTAATCGATCTGAATCAGGGCGTGTTCCTACGGCCTCGTATCAGGAAACCTCGTATCAAGAATGTACTTTTTGCCTGGTAAAACTAGCGAGAGATTTTGGGTTTAGGGGAAATTTCAGTGTGAGCCTGATACGAGGTTCTCTTGATACGAGGTGTAGGAACACGCTCTCAGCCTTCTTCAGAATAAATGAATCGATACTTATTTTGCCTGTTTAGGCTGGATTGTATGCTTCTTTAAGTGTTTCGTTTAAGATTCTAGTGTATCAGCCTTGTTGCGAAGTCAACGAGTGCACACTAACATGGAAACGCAAACCCCGCCCCGTCAATCACGCTGTAATTTGGCACTTGGCAGCGCGGGGGTGCCGCACTGTGTAGCCTAGCCAACAACACGCTTGGCTTGGAGTTTTGCAAGGGCGACCACACGTGCGCAATCCCGCTCTGAATTGGGTTGGACAGCTGAAAGGGAACATCTCAACTCAAAAGCCTCCGTGTTTTCGGAATCTTCTGCCAGCCGCATGTATCCCATTTCTGTTCTTGTACTGTATTGCATATGATACTCTAGGGAATACTGCAATCAGAAATATACATTCTCTTCTTTCGTAGAGACGCTATATGGGTATCAATGGGACCAAAATAACCTCTGAATGCGCATCAATAGCTGCTTATCCGCAGGAAACAGATACAACTCGGAGTTCTATGGGAGTGCGACAGTGAGATGGGAAACAGGATATGACAAAGTATCAATAACATTTATGTTGGTAGGGATTGCACATCATTTAGTGGCATTTGTTATGAATGTTCCACAAATATGTTATGCGGGTGCAGCTGGAGTGTCACAAACTGATTGAATGAATAATGAGGGCATTCAAAAGGGGTATATCCTAAACTAGCTTAAAGATGATGTTATTATTAAAAGATGGTAGTGGATAGGATAAAGTTGCCAAGTGTAAGGAAGAGAACTGTGAAGTCTCTGTAATGACCTTGCTAATAAATTGAAAGAGAACAAGATGGTTATAAGATAGAAGTACAAGGGTATAAATAGCATTCCTAGCTAGCCATGTACTCTGATGGGTACATTCCCTTATTAACCGAATTGCATTGCTACAGTAACCCACGACTATTGCCATTCTAGACAGTTACCATGTTGCACTTCGCAACTGCCTTGTGCGGTTACTGGGCAGTCAAGGGTCACGACCGTTGACTGTCTTCGACTGTTGACCTTCGGGTGACCCTCGACCTTCCGCGTGTTAAAGTTTAGAAGAAAGAAGAGGATTGCACTAGCAAGAATGAGGATACAAATAGCAAACCCTAGAAGGGTTGTACTCGCTATAGAGCACCCCACTACAGGCTAGAGCATAAGATAACATTCTGACACACCCCCATAGCCAAAGTGGGGTGTAATCAGCAGAGTAAGCAAAGGAGTACAAGCTCAGGGTGGATCACAATGTCACCACACATTCTGAGCACAAGTTCAAGAAGCAATAGTTTAAGTTCACAATTATGAGCAAAGCTAGTGGTAGTCACAACGGGCAAGTGAGGAGGAGGAGAGAGAGTGAGAGGAGAGGAGATAGGAGGCGACGGCTGAAGCTGCAGACACACAGGCAACAGGAGGCAGACTGGCACAGCGGCTACCGGACGAAGTCCCCGGAATACAGGAGTAACAGGCCCCGCGGCTAAAGTAGCGGCAGACGAGCAACGGACCCACGGGCGGCTGGCACAGCTGGCTACGACTGGGCTACCGGACGAAGTCCCCGGAATACAGGTGCTGCTGGCGACACGACGGCAACCTCCATTCAGCTTCCCCAAACTATCCCACTCCCCCCTGGCACATACCCGCTGCTACACCGCTAGCTCCACTCCCCCTTCACCCCCCCTTAGTACCACTCCACCGGCTCCAACACGTCCACCCCCCCTCAGCGGCAGCTGCAGCACAGGGAGACGGAGGAGGAGGAGGAGCAGGGAACAGTACACAGTGGGTGCACCCCCATACCCCGCACCCCCAAACCCTAATACAGGAGAATGGGGAGTAGGAGGGGTGGGGCACGAGTAGAAGCGCTGGGGGACAGTAGGGAGGGCAGGGGCAGCAAGGAGCGGGCCCACCACGGGCCTGGTAGGGTCGCCCGAACCGCGCGTAGGCGGCCTGAGCCGCGCGCGGGCCTGGCGCCGCCCGTACGGGCCGCGCGCGGGCCTGGCGCAGCCCGTACGGGTGGCGCGCGGGCCTGGCGCAGCCCGTACGGGTCGCGCGCGGGCCTGGCGCAGCCCGTACGGGTCGCGCGCTGCCTGTACGGGCCGCGCGCAGGCCACGACGGGCGACGGGGGGCGACGAACGGGTCCCCGTCGCCCGTCGCGGCGCCTCCCGAGGGCGACGCGACGGTTGACGGGGCCGAAGCCCGCCGCGCGCCTCGGGGCGCACAGCGGGCAGAGAACCGCCGCGCGCCTCGGGGCGCACGGCGGGCAGAAAACCGCCGCGCGCCTCGGGGCGCACGGCGGGAAGAAAACCGCCGCGCGCCTCGGGGCGCACGGCGGGAAGAAAACTGCCACACGCCACGGGGCGTGCGGCACCGAGTGTAGTGGTAGGAGTTGCAGCGGAAGCTAGGAGGTGGTAAGCCCACCCACAGGATCGATCCAAGGGGATCGACCTGCTCTGATAGCATGTTAAAGTTTAAAAGAAAGAAGAGGATTGCACTAGCAAGAATGAGGATACAAATAGCAAACCCTAGAAGGGTTGTACTCGCTATAGAGCACCCCACTACAGGCTAGAGCATAAGATAACATTCTGACACCGCGTGCTCTATATGAGCTCATGCGGTACTGGTACAAGCATCAGCTTCGCTATGAGGAGACGCGACAGTGGAGAGCCTTCGGGAATGCTTGTAATAACCATTCGGTTATTCCAACACTCCCCTTCATTCCTGAAGGTGAGCCACGTGGGATTTCTTGGTGATCCCGCAAAGGTTGGCGCAGTGCTGGAACTGTTGACGTGGCAGTTTCTTTGTCAGGAAGTCGGCTGCCATGTCACCAGTCGGGCAGTACGTGAGTTTGACCTTGCCCTTGTCGATTTCGTCCTTGACGAAGAAGTAGCGAAGGGTTCACGAAGCCGGACTTGTTTGCGATCTTGATCGCGCTCTGGTTGTCGCAGAGTAACGTGAAGTGCCCGTTCATCGTTACTTTCGCTTCCTGCAGGAGCTCCATCAGGTACAATCCTTCGCGAACAGCCAGGGCCCACGATATCAGGGCAAATCATCCTGATTACCCTGATTTCAGGATGCGGTTTTAAATATGCCCTGTAATTTCAGAATGCTGCTCATTTGTACCCTGTGGTCTCAGGATGTTGCTACATGATATGCCCTGAAATTTCAGGATTGCCATACTGTTTTGCCCTGTAGAGTCAGGATGAATATCTAACATTCCCCTCATGCGAATTTTGGGGGGGGGTGCTGGGGTGGGAGGAAGGGGGGGGGTAGGTGGGGTGGGGGCTGGTTTTCCCTTGACACGCGTACGCACCAACCAGCCAACCACCGACCACGCGGTCGTTAGCATCAGCCATGCCCAACGCGGACGATGTCACGGGCCACGGCGCCAGTTGCATAGGCTGACATGACACTGTTTATGTTTTTTTGCCCTGAGAGGTCAGGATGTATTTCTGACGAAGGCCTGAAAATACAGGATAGCTTAAAAATTCTGCCCTGAGAAATCAGGGCATTTTTTGTGGATTCTGCAAAGTTACCCTGAGGCCTCAGGATGCCCTAGATCCTAGTGAGGGCCCTGCGAACAGCTGCGCTGGCGGCGATGAATTCTGCTTCGGCTGACGAAAGGGCGATGAGTTCCTGCTTCTGAGAGTTCCATGAGATAAGCCCAGCAGGTTGAAGTTGAAAAATGAATCCTGTGCGGGAGCGTCTGTTGTCAACATCTCCCGCATGGTCAGCGTCTACGTAGCCGTGCAGCTGCAGAGTAGCCGTTAAGTTAGCTTCGTAGGTGAGGCCGACGTCGGGAGTAGAGATGAAGTATTGAAGTGCGCGGCGTAGATCCTGTAGATTCTCCCCTTCAGGTCGCTTCATGTACTGAGCGAGCTGGCTTGCGACGTAGGAGAGGTCGGGCCGGCACGTGACGGCGGCGAACAGGAGGCACCCGAGATGCTGCTGATAGAGCCGATG